CTGTCCAGTTTTCCCAGCACCACCTGCTGAAGAGACTGTCTTTAATTCCATTGTATATTCTTTCCTGTTTTGTCAAAGATTAGTTGGCCATACGTTTGTGGGTCCATTTCTGGGTTCTCTATTCTGTTCCATTGATCTGAGTGTCTGTTTTTGTGCCATTGAATGTATCTTAACTTCAGCAGACGTGCCAAGCATGTGCTGACATCACAAAATTCTGTAGGATTTCTCTTTTGGCAGAATTACTACATTTTAGCCTTACAGTTTCTAAGTAAAAGAATTATACATAACATTAAAGAGAAACGTTGAGGAAAATACTGCATTATGGTCAAATGGCCACTATCTGTCTCACTTATAATGTCAACCTAGTTCTACAGGTGAAATCTGTAAAATCCAATATGGGTCATAAAAGTCTGATGCTTTGTATATGCACAAAAATCACTCCTCTTTTGCCATGCTGGTCTTGTCCATATGTTCATTTGGATAAAATTTCATAATTGTTTTTAAGATACATATTCCATGCCATACAGTTATTAAATGTATTACTGACAAAAGTGCCTGGATGGCTTAGTCAGTTAAACGTCCATCTCTGGATTTCAGCTCAGGACATGATCTCATGGTTTGTGAGTCTGAGCCCCACGTTGGGCTTTGTGCTGAGAGCGTGTACCCTGCTTGGGACTCTCTCTTTCCCTCTCTCTCTGCCCCTCCCCTGCTCACTCACTCTCAAAAATTAATAAACTTTAAAAATCTTTTAAAAAATAAAAATAAATACATGTATTACTGATAATATCTGGTGATGCCAGAATATTATTTTTAAGAGGCAGTTAGGCAGCTATGCTTAAAATTCAACATATTAAAGAATATTGATATATATTAATATCAAGTCTTAAAAAATTACTCGATTGTACCATAACATGCAAAGCATGCCACAAATTCCTTTAGGGTGTGGAAATTAAATAGTAAAAGTCTCCATACACTTCTAATATTGTTCAAGGAGAAACACTATAGCAATGGAAAAAAGCACTCTAGATACTAAGGGTTTAGTCTCGAAGAATCACCACAGTCTTGGACAAGCCAGCCTAGTATTTGCCAATTGATGTGGACTTATCATGTCTTCAACACCAAATAAAATAAAGGTTAGAAAATTATAACTCAACGGGGCACCTGGGTGGCTCAGTCAGTTAAGTGTCTGACTTCGGCTCAGGTCATCATCTCACGGTCCTTGAGTTCAAGCCCCCACCTAAGGCTCTGCACTAACAGCTCAGAGCGTGGAGCCTGCTTCAGATTCTGTGTGTCCCTCTCTCCCTCCCTCCCTCCCTCTCTCTCTCT